TGGGTATTTGAATAAAATTTAGGCTAAATAGCGACGAAGGTGCGACATTGAGAGGATAACACATGTATAAGGTTGTTTGTATAAAAAAACATTAAATGTGGTTTGCATCAATTTCACCAATATTTAAAGATGGTTCCCATGAAAATACCATAGACTTAACCTTTCAACTAGTCAAATTAGGATATAATCGTGTGGGCTTCATATGCTCTCTTGATCTATTGTTGTGGATTAAGTTTACAGGGAAGAAGTTTCATTAGATTTAGCTCTATTTCCTAATTGAGGCTTGATTAAAAATCAAGGTCTACTAAAGAAAATAATCCAAGGGAAGCGGTGTCACGTTACAACACCTCCACGTGAGCAGATCTGCTACTGTCTAGTTGTTTTGTCTCTGTAACATTCTAGAAGTTTCTTAAGCCTACTATGCACAAGCATACATAGGGTAACGGGTCTCAGCTTGTAACCATCCCAAAAACACGCACAAGTGTCAAGTGTGTGGTTAGTGTGAGAGCGTGTCGCTGTGAGTAAGAGTGCTCTCCTTCACGAGTTAAGTGTGAAGTTTACATTGTGTAAGTTCTAGTAATATTTTGTATCCCGTATAAAGTTTGTTCTTATGTCAATATAAGGCCCCGTTTGGCAAATGGTTAAGGAAGAGGTGTTAAAGAGAATGATTAAGGAAGAGGTGTTAAAGAGAGGTGTCAATATAGTCTTTATCACCTTGATTCCTAAAATCAGGGATTGTACTAAGGTGAAAGATTTTAGACCAATTAGCCTTATCAATTGCCTCTTTAAAATTTTCTCTAAAATTTTGGCAAATAGACTGTCTCATCACATGTCTTCTTTAGTGGCATCTTCACAATCTGCATTCCAAGCTGGGAAATCTACCCTTGATTCTATTCTTCAAGCTAATGAAATGATTCATGCTTGTTCAAGAAGAAAAAAGGAAGTTGCTATGTTTAAGATTGATTTTGCTAAAGCTTTTGACTCTATAGACTGGGTTTTTCTAATTGATCTGTTGAGAGCTAGGGGCTTTGGTAGTCGATGGTGTTCGTGGATTCTTCATATTATTTCATCATCTTCTTGTGCAATTCTTGTCAATGGTTCTCCCACAAAGTTCTTTTCTTGCAAACGAGGCCTTAAGCAAGGTGATCCTTTATCTCCTATGTTATTCAATATTGCGGTTGATGTTTTGTACAAAATGATTATGAACAATGCTGAAGAGGGTTTACTGTCATCACTTGGTCTTAAGCACCCTCTCAATCACTTGAGGATACTTCAATTTGCTGATGATACACTTCTCTTTGTCAAAAGCTCCTATCATGATATCTCCATTTTGAAAACTATTCTATACATCTTTGAGGACATTTCTGGGCTAAGCATCAACTACTCGAAATCTTCTCTAGTATACTTTGGAAATATTCAACACAAGGATCATGATATTGCTTATGGTTAAATAGATTAATGTTTATTATATAGCAAAGAATTTACTATCTAATTAGGGACGTAAGTATAACGGTATAACTAATCCAACTAGTTAGTAATTATCTTGGTCGCAAAAACAAAAGTCAGGAAAAATTTCCTGTGGACAGGAAAAACAGACTCAAAATCCTTCAAATTCTTAGCAAACTGGAAAAAAGTCTGTTTAAATAAAGAAGAGGGAGGTCTGGGAGTCAAGGATATTGCTCTGTTTAACACTTCGCTTTTATCCAAATGGTTATGGAAGTGCTTGGATAGAAATTCAACTTCTGGTAACTTTCTTCATCATCTTTATGTTCATAATGGGACAAAATTGCAGAATTCTTCCTTCAAGTCATCTAATTCATCATTTTGGAATGATGTTTTATCTAAGAAAGATGCTTTTCTTCATAACATTAAATGGATAATTGGTTCTGGAGAAGACATAAGATTTTGGGAAGATAAATGGGTCAATTTCAACAGTTTAGCTAGTATTTTTCCTGAATCTTACAAGTTAGCTTTTTCTGCTAATGCATCCATAAGAAGCCAAGGTTCATATATTGATAATGAGTGGCAATGGCACTTACTGATGAGAAGGAGCATTCTTCCCAATGCTCAGGCAGAGAAAATTGATCTTTTGAAAACTGTCAGTGACTTTCTTGCTTCAAATAATTGTGATCAACCTACATGGTCTCTCACTTCTAATAGACAATTCTCAGTCAGGTCCTTTTACAATTTTCTTATATGGAGAGGTATTAAATATCCCTTATTCAAAGTTACTTGGAATACAATTATTCCATCCAAAATTCGCATCTTTCTTTGGCTTCTCTCACATAATAAACTGCATACTAAGGAGATTCTTCAGCTAAAAGGTTGGAATGGTGATTCATTATGTTCTTTTTGTGGGACTGAACTGGAAACCAGAGATCACCTGTTCTTTTCATGTCCTATATCAAAGATAGTATGGCATCACTTCATGCGTTACTCCTTACCTTTCACTTGGCCTAATTCTTTGGATGATTTTTTGATTAGTCTGGAAACTCTGAGAGGCTTGGAAGGTGTTCTTTGGAGAAGCTTTTTTGCCTCTGTTTGTTGGAGCTTGTGGACTTCGAGGAATAAATTCATCTTTGATCAAATTCATTTCTCTATTAAGTCTATTATTAACTTGGCAATATCTGGTATTTATGATTGGACAGGCACTGGGAGTGGAGTTGTAGCCCAGAGAATCAAAGCGAAGCTGGAGGAAAACCCCATCAGCAGAAGCATATGACAGATTTTCGTATGGGGACTGAGAATGTTAGTTTTTGTTCGGATTTTGGCTTGTGTATATATATCAGATTCTGTAGTTCTATGTTTTTGTGGTAATTGGGTTATAGAAAATTTAGTTTCTTTTTAACTATATATATGGCTGGCTTTGGTTCTTTCTTATATCTGTGTCAACGGTGAATGACGGCAAGGCCCTCTCTTCACCTTCATAGATGTTTGAAAGAAGAAAGTCATATATCACTAGTTTTGAGAAGCTATCTTTTCTATCTTCCAATCTTGGGATATAATTCATATCCTTCTTTTGTAAATACTTTTGATTAATATAAATGACAGGGTATATCCCTTGTTTTCCTTCAAAAAAAAAAAATTAATGTACTTAGCCTATTCGATAATCTGAATGACTAAATTATTAACCAGTTAAATAAGTTTTATTTTAGACATTGTGATCAATTTTAGTGTTTGGGAATAATAATAATTTTGACTATTTTCTTTATAATTAGAAGAATTAACTCTTAATCTTTCTAAATAGGAGAATTAGTAAACCCCTCAGTTTGAGGGGTTAACTCATTTTAATCCCTCTAGAGGGGTTAATTTAACCATTCTATATTATTTATGTTTGACAAATTATAGAGGGTTAATTCACTTTAACCATTGTATAGATCTTTTGTGTTTGGCGGGTTAAGAAGGGGTTAAATCTCCTTAACCCCTCACAAACCCTTTGCCAAACGGTACCAAAAAGTCCAGCTTTCAGCTTCCATCACCTTCCGATATCTAGCAACACGATGATTTAAATAAATCATTTTCTATAGTAGAGGTGATGTGCTGTAAAGCATTTTCCTGCATGAAAACGAATACGTTCAAATAATTTTGATAAAAAACCAAATATGATTAACTTTGGCAAGTTTTTGTTTGAAGAGAGTATTACATGCTAAATAGATTTTATACAAGCAAAGCTTTCTATCGTAAGCTTACCTTTCCAAGAGAGAAATGAGTTGAAATGGATTTAAACAAAGCTGCAAAGGAGCTTCGTGATTTAGAGCGAGAAAAATGATTACGAGAGAAATCAGAAATCGGGAAAAACAAGTCACAGAAATTTAGTGAAACGAAAAAAGAAGAATATTTGCTACCCACTTTGCACCCGCCCGCTATCCGCGCCTCAGTCTACTAACCAATTGGAACCAGCCACGCGTCCTCACCAAACCCCACGCGAACCGTCCGTTTCCCGAACAAATGAACGGCCAGATACGGCTCCACCCCATGGATCCGCGCCTCTCCTCTCCGCCCAATCAAACTCCGCCTCCTCTCCCTATTTAAAACCCAACCGATCACCAAGTCATCCTCACCATCCCCAGAAAAAAAATCCCCAATTCTACAAAAAATCCCCCCAGTTCCTAAAACCCTAGGAAGAAAAAAATCCCGTCCGATGGCGCCGAAGGCCGACAGAAGAAGAAGAAGAAGGCGAAGAGCGTGGAGACGTACAAGATCTACATCTTCAAGGTCCTGAAGCAGGTCCACCCGGACATCGGGATCTCGAGCAAGGCGATGGGGATCATGAACTCGTTCATCAACGACATCTTCGAGAAGCTGGCCCAGGAGGCCTCCCGCCTGGCCCGCTACAACAAGAAGCCCACCATCACCTCCCGCGAGATCCAGACCTCCGTCAGGCTCGTCCTCCCCGGGGAGCTCGCCAAGCACGCCGTCTCCGAGGGCACCAAGGCCGTCACCAAGTTCACCAGCTCCTGAACCGTTGGGCTCTGGATCGTCGTTTGGAATTCTTCGGGGGTCTTGGGTTTCTTCGCATTTTGGTTGCCTGAATCGTTGTTTTGTTTTGTCTTGTTTGGAAATAGTAGGCTTATTATTGTGGTGGGTGGGTGGTAGTTTCCTGTAATATAAAGTCGGCTTTGAAATGAAGTATCTTGATTAGTATCATATGTCTTATTTGGATCAACTCTTAAATATTTGGAATTAGTTATAATTTCCTTGCGATTCCAAGGACGACAATTTAGTCTCAATTGTGCAATCAGAGCTTGGCATGGACTTTTTTTTTTCTTGTATGCAGTTGCGGGTGTGGCTAAGTGTTACCCTAGCGATGCGATGATCTGATGATGCTATGATGTTTTGATATTTGCAAGTGTTTCTCAAGCCCTCGTGCTTGCACTTTATGTTCGCATATTAGTGTTACTGCAATTAAATTTTTCAACCAAATTAAAATTCAATTCGCTGCCTATCACCTGATTCTGATGTTAGGCTTATGACCTCCAGTAGAAGTTGTTGCTCAAAATTGTTTACAAGAACTTCTTCCAATATTTGTTACTGCAATTAGTTCTTCCAATTTTTTGCTCGGGTACGAGGCTTCTTATTTGTTGGATGCTCCCGACTCTGTAGACGAACAAATTTACTTGCTGAGACCGGTTTCTTTCTATTTAATTACGGATTGCTTCTGGTTTGAAAACTTATCGAAGTAAGTAGTTCAAATTTGCTTAGAATCTCATTCAAATAAGAATACTCGGGGCAACTCTTGGATAAATAAATAAAAACCAGAACACTACCTCATTAGGAAAAGAAACCTATCCAATCACAGTTCCAATCTAACAAAAAAAATCTGATCAGGATATCTTTGCATGTGTTCGGACTAGTATGTAGATAAAGCCACAACATCCCTTTCTTCTTTTCTTTCTTTTCTTTCTCCGATCGATCATGGAACGAGGTACCGTGACCGCTTCTGCACCCGGATGGTCTCAACTCCTCCGGAAGCTCCACCGACGACTCAGCGCATCATTGTGGTCTTCGGTCGTCGCCGGCAGGCCTCTCCTTGTAGGTAGAACCGAATCAGAGCTAGTTTTCTCATGCCTCCGCGATGGTAGGATCCGGAAATTACCGATGAAGTTACCCTTCAACGATCACCATCGTCGCCTTTGCTGCTTCGGCGATCTTGATGGCTGGTTAGCAATCGACGCCGCCTGCTCCTCGGACTTATTGAAGGGGGATTCTCGCAACAGTTACCTCGTTAACCCTATTTCAGGAGAGCAAATCTACCTTCCAAGGCTCGGCGATAAGGACTGCGTGTTCATGGCCGCTGTATCCGCGCCTCCAACTGCCGCCGACAGCACTGTCGTCGCGTATGGTGGATTCCGAAGACGAGCTGTTGTTGGTCGGGAAGGGTTACGTCTATGATAAAGCTGCGGCGAGGGATGGGGTGAAGTTCTGCGTGTTGAAGATGGAGGGGGAGAGGTGGGTTGGGGTTGAGAGTTTGGGGGATCGATTGTTGGTGTTGAGCGAGTACGGCGCCGATAGCCTGAGCGCGGATGAGGTTGTGGGCTCGGATTTTAGGCGGGACTGCGTGTACGAGGTGCCCACGTGTGGTGATCTGTTGGTGTACTCGATGGGAGACGGGGGTTGTAGGAGGGTGAAGGTTTCGAAGGACGATGGCGGCGTTGGATACGGATGGTTGATGCCGTGTAGACGGAGAATTGATGCGTCAAAGTGAATTTGTTGATAGTCATTTTTCCAAATATTTTGTTTTTTTTTTGTCTCAATTTTTCGTTTTGTAATTGTTTATCGGTCAATACATGCATGGCTACGATTTACATGACGAGGAAGAGCATAATTTGCAGGAGATGCGATGTTGGTTATGCTAGAAATGAATCACTCTGCATATTATTGGATAATTACGACGATTGAGAAAATCTCCATTATGAGGTGATGGGTGGGTTTTATTTGTGTGCTCGCTCACCCGCGTCCCTCCTCCTCCACCGATCGAAATGCCTGACCATGAAACAACTCCTCCTC